AAAATACAGATTACGCATGCCGCATAGTTGCAGTCGATTCTGCCTCTAAAAATGAGGCATTTATGACTGATGATACGGAAACGGAAACCAGTGTTACCGCAATTAACTTAATGAAAACATGCCTGCTAAAACTGGCTCCATTATTTAAGACCTATTTCGCTTTATTCGGCTTTATTTCGACCAATTCCTTGACCACTTGATTCACTGTCGACTTCCTTACTGTCCTGAAGGGCAGAACCAAGAAATTTGAATTCTTAAGTTTGAGGCAACATACTACCGCTACTTTCACTCTGTTCCCTTTCTCCCCACTGACATAACTCGCCATATATTCAGACTTGCTTTAACTTAACCGATGACCGATATTCTAACGGACAGTTCTCCATGCCGCGGTATTTGCCGTACTGCATTTCTGCTTTCGCGTACAGTTGCTTCCTAGAGATCTTTCCAGACTTACAGATACTATTTCCTACAGATCAGATCTCTATCGCGTCTGTCGCCATCGAGAACAGAAATGGACTCATTGCTGAACCTTGATGAACTCCTACTCGCACAAGGAAATTATCGGTTTCGCCGCTAATTTTACTTATTATTTCCGCTACATTAAGAAGGGGACTCATTGGATTTGACTGACTGCAGAAAATTAGACAGCAATGTTGCACAATAGACATCATCATTTAAGCATCGAAGCTAAGGTTAGTAACGTACAAGCACTTATTTCTGAAGTGCACTGAAGCGAACGTAACGAACCGCCGATTAATGATTCTTCAGACAGCTCTGTAGGTAAGAATACGTAGACAAATTTGAAATGGCTAATGATGCATCGCGAGCTGTCCTGTCGCAAGAAATTTAATCTTGGTAAATTTACATGAGTGGTACATCTTTGACCTGATGCCCGCCATGTTCGCAACATTTCAACACTTTTACTGTAAGGCACCGGTATTCATCTCTGAAAGGAGATTTGCCTCTACCTTGTTCATTGATGTTGAACACCAGCCTCCCGGTCAA